AATGAGAGACAGGGGAAAGCCAGCATCCTGTACTCCAGGAGTCTACTTGCTGTCAGGAGGCAGAAATGGGACAATCTTAAACTGTAGAAGATTATAGGTAACATAATGGAATTAGGGACCAGACGTGGAAAGGACCACAGAGGGGGACATTGTTCCTGTGGATTCATCTCCATTTAATCCTGACAGGCTATTGGATAGCTGGCTCTGTTTACCAAAAAAGCAGCATCCAGGCAAAGTGCTGTGGGGGTGTGGTGAGATGGAAGCCCGATGGGTCTTTGACTGTTGCTCAGCTTCCCTTGGTCTCTCCTTGGAACATCCGGAAACGGTTAGGTTCCCTCTCACCCACTATTAATCACATATTAACCCTCTCATCACATATGGCTTTGTGCTTCTATTTTCCATACGATAGTTCTTTATTGAATCCTATTCTTGTTGCGTTTCAATCTGTTCTTTTCTCATAATTTCCTTCTCCTTCATAAAGGCCACATCTTCTTCTATTCTAACAAAGGTGTAAATTTTTTTTCTAGAATCTTTTCTGATTTCTGAAATATGTCATTTTTAGAAACATGCTTAGGGCTGGAGAGATGGCTCAGAGGTTAAGAGCACTGGCTGCTCTTCCAGAGATCCTGAGTTCAATTCTCAGCAACCACATGGTGGTTCACAACCATCTGTAATGAGATCTGGTGCCCTCTTCTGGCCTACAGGGGTACGTGCAGACAGAACACTGTATACATAAGAAACAAACCTTTAAGAAATAAAAGAAATATGTTTATTTACTGGGATTCTAGATGACATTTGTTTCCATTGTCTTCAGGATTCCATAACTCTGCATGCCAGGGAAGAAAATTTGTTCATGGTTGCCAGAGGATACAATGGGTGGCTTTCTCTTGAGTCTCCAACTTGGATGTTGGTGGATCTTCCTGGACTATAACCTGAAGACAGGGCTAATATACAAAGCATATATTCCTTTATACAGAGTCTGGATCCTGCATGTTATTGTGTTGTCTTTAAATTGTTTGATTGCTAGGGAGTTGGCTCAGTGGTACGGACACTTGGATGAGAAAGCCTGAAGACTTGGGTTTGAAAGCCCAGTACCTATTATTTTATTTATTTATTTTGTGTTGGGAGCCAAATCTCAGGGCTTGGCATGAGATCCTAGGCCATGCTTGGCCGGTCACATAGTTAACCTTTACATAGCAGCTCCTTAGAACCTCAGCTCAAGAAAAGAAACAACTTGACCCAGTCCTCCACCCACAGGCTCAACCACCTAGGCAACCCCTTCCTGGACCTCTTACTCATAAACTCTTTACCCTGCCAAACATCCTCTTTGTGGCTTCCTAATATCCTGCCTACACTAACACCTGGTACACAAACAACCCATTCTGCCCCTCCCCATATCCTGCTTTACTGACTATATAAGCTAGCCTGAGAAAAGTAAAGTTTGCCACTTGGTCAGAATCTTGTCTTGTGGTCGTTCTTTCTGCATGTCTTGTCCCCATTCCCTATCCCTGACTCTCTTGCCCCAGGTTGACGTCCTGAGGGTCAGGACAATTTAAGTTTTTTGAGACAGGATTTCTCTGTTTTGCTTTGGAGGTTGTCCTGGAACTCGCTCTGTAGACCAGGTTGGCCTCAAACTCACAGAGATCTGCCTGCCTCTGCCTCCCAAGGGCTGGGATTAAAGGTGTGCGCCACCAGCGCCTGGCCATCAGTAGCTATTATTTAAAAAAAAAAAAAATCCAGGTGTGCCTGTATGTGCCTGTAACTCCAGGGTCATGAACAGCAGCAGGTCGCTGAGCTTGTGGGCCACCAGCCTAGCCCCAGGTTCATTGAGAGACCCTGCCTCAGTGAATAAGATGGAGAATGATAGAGCCGGACACCTGTATCCTTTGATTTCTACACATTTGCACAAACACCACAGATGTGCACACACAAACACACAGAACCAGGAAACAGAGGTGGGATTCCCAAGTTTTCGGTTGACCCAGATCCTGACCCTCTAAGTCAGAGGTCAAGATCTGGAAAGCAAACAGCTAGCTCCTCTCACTGGTATCGCAAGCCCACCTTGCTGGAGATGAGGGTCCCCTAAGCCCACCTTGCTGGAGATGAGGGTCCCCTAAGCCCACCTTGCTGGAGATGAGGGTCCCCTAAGCCCACCTTGCTGGAGATGAGGGTCCCCTAAGCCCACCTTGCTGGAGATGAGGGTCCCCCAAGCCCACCCTGCAGGAGATGAGGGTCCCCCAAGCCATCCCTGCTTGGGATGAGGGTCCCCCAAACCCTCCCTGTTGGAGGTGAGAGTCCCCCAAACCCTCCCTGCTTGGGATGAGAGTCCCTGCCACCCACCCTGCTGGAATGACAGTCCCCCAAGCCCACCTTGCTGGAGATGAGAGTCCCCCAAGCCCTCCCTGCTGGAGATGAGGGTCCCCCAAGCCCACCCTGCAGGAGATGAGGGTCCCCCAAGCCATCCCTGCTTGGGATGAGGGTCCCCCAATAAAATGACTACATTTCTTCCAAATTTGGACATTAGTTTTCCCAATTACTATGAATTATTTTGTACTTCCTAAATAGGTATTTTAGTAGAGACTTGGCAAAGGATATCTTAGGTCTTCATAAGCAAATTCCATCCAAAACAAGAATGTCTGAAGTATTTACATGCTCATTGATTCATCCAACCAGTACTGACTGACTACAAGTCATGTGCTTGGCTCTGTGCCGCACTGACCGAAAACACTCAGCCCCCTCCTCTTTTAGCTGAAATCAATAGTTTAGTGGGTGTTTCATGACAGCATGAGGAAATGCTTCGAGATCAAGTACCGGGGACTTCTTTACTCTGGGCCATGACTAGAGATTGAGGGAGAAAACACTAGAATGATAGTTTAAGGTTTGGTATTGAAAGTTCTTGGCTGCCACACTGAACTATAAAGTTTGACGTGTGTGGAGGCACCGAGGAAGGAGAGGAGCTGTGCTTTGAGATGCTGAGTGAGTGAGGACTGGGGGCGGCGAGGGCAGCTAGTGCAAAACCAGCAGGGATGCATGGGGCACCTGACTTCAGTCAGAGCGGAGGAGTAGAGACAGACAGACAAGGCACGGGAAGGTCTGACAATCAACAAGAAGCAGGCACACAGGAGATGACACCACACGTCAGGTACAAGGAATAAGAAATCTCGAAGACGCATACTGTCGGTTATGAGCAAATATCTGACATGGAGTCAGACACTATGGCACCGAATTTTAATGCCAGCACTTAGGAGGCAGAAGCAGGCAGTGAGTTCAAGGCCAGCCTGGTCTATGTCGTGAGCCCTTGTCTCAAAACCTAACAAACAAACAAACCAGATAATGAACTACTTAAGAGGGGGAGGAATGGTGATGGGGTCTTGTTTGTGCTCTAACAAATAAAGCTTGTCTGAAGATCAGAGGGCGGAGCTAGCCACTAGTTAACCATAGAGATCTGTACAGACAGACAGGAAGTGAGATGGCTGTGTGGAGAGAGGAAGTGATGGGGCAGCAAGGAAATAGGAACTCTGCCCCTTTTTGGCTGAGGAATTAGCAAGTTGGCTGTGACTTGCTCTTTTCCTCTCTCTGATCTTTCAGCATTTGCTCAGATTATCTGGCTGTGGGTTTTTAATTATTAAGACCAATTAGAATTCATGTTACAAGGAATGGTTTATTTTGGGTTCTTGACTTAGGAAGAGCATCTTTATGAAAGGGGATACAGGAGAAGCCAGGACAAGTTAAAGTATTATGGAGGTTTAGATGAGGAATGTCCCCCACAGCCTCAGGCATTTGAGTAGCTGGTCCCCAGCTGGTAGCACTGTTTGGAGGTCGGTGCAGCCTTGCTGGAGGAGGTACATGGCTGGGTGTGGGCTTTCAGAGTTTACAGCTTTACCCCACTTTGAGCGGGTGTCTCTGCTCTGCACTCAGCTTCCTGCTCCTGCTACCATGCCTGCTGGCCACCCACCCCTCCCTCTGAAACCAGAAGCCCCAATAAACTTTCCTCCATAAGTCATGTTTGGTCATGATATTAAATCACAGCAACAGAAAACTAATTAACACCCAAAGACACACCCTAGTGGCCTACTTCCTCTGGCCTCAACTCCTATGCTTTGCCTCCTCCCAAATATGCCATCATTTAATTTCTCCATCAAGAAATGAATCCATTAATGAGACTAAAAACCTCAGCATCCAACAAAGCCCATCAGTTGGCAGTAGCTCCCTGTCTGAGGCTCTGATGGATGTCTCTTACACTCCAACCGTAATGTCAGCTTTACACTCAGCATACAAAGCCCAAGCTTGTACATAGATATAGTGTTGAGATTCCAAAAACAAGAGAAATGACAAAGCCTTGAAGATAGAAGGGTGGAATATCTGATTATCATGTGACCTCATCACTTTGGGGTTAAAGTGGCTGTCGAAAAAGTGACAAAAAGCAAGTTGGGGACGAAAGGGTTTACTTGACTTACATTTCCACGTTGTAGTCCATCACTGAAACAAGTCAGGACAAGAACTCAAACAGGGCAGGAGCCTGGAGGCAGGAGCTGATGCAGAGACCACGGAGGAGGGCTGCTTACTGGCTTGCTCATCATGCTTTGTTCAGGCCTGCTTTCTGATAGAACTCTGGACCACCAGCCCAGGGGTGGCCCCACCCACAAGCTGGATCTTATGGAAACATTTTCTTAATTGAGGGTCCCTCCTTTCGGGTGACTCTAGTTTGTGTCAAGTTGACATAAAACCAGTCAGTACAGTGGCTTTCCTCACTCTGTGAAGCCAGTGAGGCAGAAAGGCAAGGAGTTGCTTTCCCCGAAGCACCAGGTTTTCCACTGTTTAGAAAGTTGTTGAGTCTTTCTTTAAAACTTCCACGGATTTGAAGGGAATGGTTACTCAACGTCCACAACAGGTAACTCCTAGGAAAATGGCACTCTGGCTTTCCAATTCCTGTGGGCCTGATGAAAAGAAGTTACAGATGAGTACCGATTAATTTCCATTTGAAAAGTCAACTTTTGCTTTTCAGGGAGAGAGCACGGAAGGATGTGGGTAATTAAAATCTCCAGATAACACAAACACCAGATTTAACCAGAGATTTCAATTCCTCCTCCACGACTTTTTTTTTCTTTTTTTTTTTTTAAGTAGAGGTGCAGAATAGCACAGCCCCACCTGCCTGTCAGCCCCACCTGCCTGTGGGGTCTGGGTGTCACATGATACTAACTTTTCTAGAAGACAGTGGAAGCCAGAAGAACAAAAAGCCAGGACTTAGGCGCCTCTCCTGCTTGGTTTCGTCTGGAGGCCGCTCAGGATTGGACGGTTCTTGAAAAGCCAGATCAGCATCAACAGCAACTCCTCAGTGGAGAGCCTAGCTGTGGCTTCGCTGTGGCTGAAGGCAGAGTGGTGTGTGTGGGGGGGGGTGGGATGGCACCACTCTCTCCTCAAGCACGGGGTTTCTCATTCACCTTGCGCTTGAAGCTCTTCCTACTCTTCTCATGAGATGCAGACCCAACCAACATATAACTGCTGCCATTTTAAATGTCCCGAAACCAACCCTTCCTGGTGACCCTTGTTTGTGGCCTGGCCCAATTCCGTCACCATTTCTCTGAGACCTGTGTTCAGTCTTGGGCCAGGCTTGTGTGCCCCTGTTGAAACACACCTGAGCTTCCAACCTCTTCGTCGCTGTTCCTGCCATTCCAAGAGTCTCCGGCTCTCTACTGTCTTTCCTGATCTAAAGTCTACTTACTCCCAACGACAGCTCCTTCCTGTGCCGACACTTCATTACTGTGCCTTTCTGACACCGTGGCGTACTTTCTATGTTATTGCTGCAGTTTTATAACCCCCACCCATGACATATTGTTCTCGGAAATGTGGGTCATGACCCCATTCGTGAGCTTTGAAATCGCTTTTAGTGGGTCGCGACCTGAATTTTTAAAAATGAAACAGAATAGCAGAGAACAACTTGGGACGCACATTGCACACGCATCCTGAATGACACAGAGTAAACATAGTTCTTGGTTTATGGTCCAAAGGCTTGAAAGTCGCTGTCACTTATTTATAGAACAGAAAACCTTGACCCACCTAGTTTAAGTGGCAAATAATTTACTAACGTATATGACCAGAAATCTGGAGACGGGGCAGTACTATTTAGCTTTGGTTTGCTGGCCACTTGGCAGCAACAAGGATCTAGACTTTCACCCCCTTTGTCTTTTTCTCCCCTTATTTGCAAGCTGGCTGCTAGAGTGCCCTGCCTCACAACAACATTCAGAGGCAGAAAACAAAACTGAGGTCTAGTCTTTGGATTTTTTTTACCAGCTCTACGTACCCCAGCTCTACGCACCCTAACTCTCTTTCCACTGCTCTTCAAAATTAGATGACAGAAATAAAATGGCTCTCTCCTCAAGTAGCAAGGAAAACCAAAATTAGTAGATGAAGATAAGGGTGCCTCTCACAAACACTTGCCTGGTTTTATTGGTCAGGGAAAAGGGGGTGGCTGGTGAATTGGGGTCTTCAATCCAGGCCCTGCACAGATGCCCGGTCCATCATGGGCACTTTTTTCTCCATACTCTGTAAGCTTCCTGCATAGCCACACTCGCCATGTGCCTGGATTTCCAGTGATCAAGTTAAACCAATCTCTTTGCCTCAGAGTCTAAATATTCGTGGTGTGCAGAGATAAAATATCCAGCTCCGGATACAGGACACGGCAGACAGAGCTCGCGATATGTATGCCCTTGGTCATCCCCGGGGCTGGGATTTCTTCCTTTTCTAAGTGCTATTAAATGTGGAGTGCTGCAGGGCACCGTTGGGCGCAGGAATGCTATTTCAGTAATAAAATGCATATTTGTCACAATGCAGATGGCAACTCGGAGCTCCACAGATGGGACTGGGCTTCTGGAGAGGAGAGGCGAGCAGGAACGGTGGGTGTGGCGTGAGATGACTTCATCCCAGATAGGGTTTTTCTCTGGAAGTCTCTGCTGCTGAATCATCCCCGGGGCCAATTTTCAGCGTGTCAGTTGGACAAAGGTCCCTGTAATTAAGGCCTTGTCCCACCACTTGCCACAGCACAATTCTGCCTATGTTGCCGTTTGAGGCCAGACAAGAAAACATGAATATATAAAATTACCATATCTGCTAGAGCTGCGGTGGAGGGCAAAAACCAATGCTGTCGTGAAAGCCAATAATACTATTGCTGCTCCTCTCCCAACAGCACAAATGTGCAGACTTGTGTGGTCGCACACACACACAGAGAGAGAGAGAGAGAGAGAGAGAGAGAGACAGAGCTCGGTCAGAACACGCATTCCGGACTTTGAACTAAAGCAAATCTTCATTCCTGAGATAATTGGGATGTTTGCTCTGGGTACAAACTCAAGATTCTCTTGCCTGCCCAAAGGAGGAAACCACGTGGGAGGCTTTCCCTCCCTCTGTCGCCCGCCAGGGGTCCCCCAGTCCCGGGAAGGCGGCATACCCAGATATGGAGGTGTCTGGCTTCCTTCTGGGTAAATCATCATTTTTATCAGCCTGCAGGGGATCAGTGGTCTCCGCCAGCCCCAGCTGGCCGGATTTTACCCTAGGTCCAGCTACAGGAAGGCCCTTGTCAACACATCCCCTGAGCAGCTAGGAGGCGTCCAAAAAGGATGAAGAAGTCATAGGTGCTATGATAAAACTTGAGGGGGACCTTGGCGGAGTCTACGGCAGGTGAGGCTGACCAAGGCGGAGGCACAAACACGCCAGGCAGACAGAGCTTAAGTGAGAATTTTAATTAGAATGGGTAGGGAGGGGGGAGGAAAGAGAAAAGAGGTAAAGAGACACAGAGACAGAGAGAGGGCACAAGAGAAGAGGGAGACAGGAAAATTCCTGTCTGCCCCAGGGGAACATAGGGAAGAGAGCAGGAAAGACAAGAGAGTGTAAGTGGGCTGGGTCTGTCTTTTAAAGGGATCCTTTGCACCTGCGTGCAGACTACCAACCATAGAACCCCGGGCTGACCAGGGCACTGCCTGAGTGCATTCTGCCAGGTGACAGGGGCCGGCCAGCATAAAGCCTGCGTCCTTACAACAAGCACACCACTGTCCCTAAAAGAGACTTCCTCTTAACATCACACTGGGTTCACTCCCCATCAATTTTTAAGATATTCCCATCGCCTTTACAGGAGTAGGGGTGGGGGAGGCGAGATGAGGGGATAGGGGTGAGTAGAACAGAGCCATCCAACAAATGGCTTGGAGGACTTGGACAAGGAACTGGTCATGACCGAGAACTGGCAGGGCTTAGCCTTCCCCTCTACGACACAACCAGTGATTGGTAAGAGCCAACGCGTATGAAGCGCTTGCTGTTTGCCCTGCACCAGCTGAGAGCTTCTGCGCATTTAGACCCCACTCCTGAGCATGGTGCCGCTGTTACTATTTATAGATGAAGAAATAAACCTGGGGCCAGCGTGATGGCTCAGGAGTACAGACAGCTGCTGTCAAGCCTGACAACCTGAATTTGATCCCTGGGACTCACGTGGTGGAAAGAAAGAACTGGCTTCCCCAAGGTGTCCTCTGCTACACACACACACACACACACACACACACACACACACACACCACAGACACACACACACCAACATGCACAAAGAGACAGACACACAAAGATACACACAAACACACACACACACACACACACACACACACACATACCACAGACACACACACCACAGACACATACCACAAACACACACACAGACACATACACAGATATACACACACAGACACTAAACAGATGTATTTTTTTTCTTAGAAAGTAAGCCTTAGGGCTGGAGAGGTGGCTCAGCAGTTAAGAACACTGGCTGCTCTTCTAGAGGACCCAGATTCAATTCCCGGCAGTCACACGGTGGCTCACAACTGTCTGTATCTTCAGGATCCAACACCCTCACACAGCCATGCATGCAGGCAATGCACACAAAATAAAAATAAATCATTTAGGGAAAAGGAAGGAAGAAAAGAAAGAGCCGGGCGTTGGTGGCTCATACCGTTAATCCCAGCACTTGGGAGGCAGAGGCAGGATGATCTCCTATGAGTTTGAGGCCAGCCTGGTCTAGAACTCTAGAAAATTCTAGGACAGGCTCCAAAACAATACAGAGAAACTTTGGCTCAAAAAAAAAGAAAAAAAAGGAAACAAAAGGAAGAAAGAAAGAAAACCTTGAGGAAAAGAGAGTCATTTGCTGTTTGAGACTATCCTGTTTTTCCTGCCAGTTCCTAAAACTGGCTCATCCCCAATTCCTGAGGATTCGGTTCCAGTGTTATGTTTGACCCCGTAAGGATCGGGAGCATTAATGTGCTAAAGACTTGGTGCCCACAGTGAGTCTTTGGAAGGGGTGGAGGCTGAAAGAGGCAGGGCCTAGCTGGAGGACCTGAGACTTTTCCTTCCTCTTTTTTTGCTCGGTAGGCATGAGATGAGTCCTCGGCTCCCTTGTCCCCCACATTCCTGCACCAGGCACTGCCACACAGGCCTGAAGCTGTGGGGCCATTAAAATTAACCTCTTTGGACTATCTCAGGTGTGCTATTCTAGCGACAGAAAGTTGAACAACCTTTGTCCCCAATGGAACTTTCCCTACCCATCCGTCTCAATGGCTCACTCAGCTCGTGATGGTCCTGGCCTGATATTCATTTGTTTGGGAAAATGTATAGAGCATCAAATAGAGGTCAAATCTTGGTGGTACAGGCAAGGGACAGAGCCTCTGCCCAAAGTGCTTATGTGTCTAGAAGCACCAGGGCTCCTTCTTCCCCTCTGGAGGTTTCTTACTCATTCTGAGACACAAGTGGGCAGTAGACAAACTGACCAGAGCAAAGACACCCAATTCATCATATGCCACGGAGCAGGACCCAACAGTGGGGTTTAGAAGTGTGTCTGTCGCGGGCGGTGGTGGCGCACGCCTTTAATGCCAGCACTCGGGAGGCAGAGGCAGGTGGATCAAAAGAAGCA